ATTCTGAAGAAATAAAAGACTACATCTTCATATAAAAAACAAAGTAATGCAGAATCTTCGGGTGACTCGAAAATATGTGTGCGAAGATCTCGGCGAACACAACCGTTGACAGAACTTGGAACAAAGAAATCGGATGAACATCACAATAGAAAGTGGTCAGATTTTGATTTACCGAATAATAACAAATGAATTCGAAGGATCTCCACTCAGTGAACACTGTTATATAACTGTTGGGTAAATGTTACGTTTTCGAAACTAACATGTTATGTAGCATAGAAGTAACATGGAAGTTAGATGTCAGTTATTATTTCCCACTCAGTAAGGTAACATGTTATGTAACATGTTATATTAATGTTATAATTTCAGTTACCTTAAAATAATATTAATTTTTCATACATTTAATAAAAAAGATCACGCAATTTTATCCAAAATAATATAATTTTTTATTTTTAATTATTTGTTGGTACTTGACAATAGTTAGATATTAAATGACAAATCAGACTTTCAATGAAATTATGTAATGATAAACTGTCTGATTTTACTTAAAGACAATTAAGATTTCATTCGACTAGCAAACAATGACTGATAATGTATATGCGCGTACGAATTAAAATCACATTTTTTCATACGAGTAGTAAATAAAATATGAAATATATTAATCTTATGACATTTGACGATGAATTATGACAATGACGATGATGTAATAAAATAGATGACAGCACCGATATAGTTCTGTTTTGTTACAAATATGTGCTGCATATACACAGTAATATCAGGACAGTAACATAATGTAAGATAAGAGTAACAAAGTTACGCTACATTTATATAGATATGATAGTAACAAATGTTATGTAACCTGTTAGCTCCATGTCACATAACTGTTAAGTTACTGCACTGTAACAAATGTCATGTAACTAGTTAGCTCTATGTTACGTAACTGTTAAGTTATTACATTGTAACAAACGTTATGTTATTTGTTAGTTTTAAGTTACGTAACTGTTAAGTTTGGTGTTCAGTGGGTTTCTTGTTTCAAAATATACTCAGGTATTGGACAGACCTTAAAGAATACGGTGATGGAACTACTAACACATTTGTCTGAAAGAAGTCTCATCCCACACGGAACGAAACCTCTAATATACGTACATAGAACGTTTCGATATGTATGGGATGTTTCAGTATATCAGAAGTTAAAAATATATGTATAATATATGTTCATGGAATGTCCAAAATATTATATTGGATTTTAGATGTACATTATATGTATTAAATACGTTCGTAAAACATCCAAAGTTTTATCAATTAAATACGTTTAGTAAATGTATAATATATCTCTATTTAACAGATATTTACATCTGAAGTATTTCACTTGAAAATGATATATAATGGATGTATGTTGTGTGCATATTACAGGAAGTCAAATTAACCTGTCACGAACGTAAAATATACATATATTCTAAGTATTTGAATATACATTATTTTACTCGTATGTTTGATACATATATTACATACATTACTACAGCATATTTTTATTTCATATATTTACCAATTAAATACGTTTGGTAAACATATCTCTATTTAACAGGTATTTGTATCTGAAGTATTACACGTGGAAAAGACATTCAATATATGTGTATATTAAGGAAAGAAAAATTGAGCAGTCACAGATGTAAAATATACGTACATTTCATGAACATAAATATACATCATTTTACTGACATGTTTCATATACGTACTTTACACGTTACTGCAGTATCCACATTTTCACCATTTAAATACGTTTAGTAAACGTATAATATATCCTTATTTAACAGATATTTGTATCTGAAGTATCACACATATAAAAGACACTTAATATGTGTAAGTTGCGCGCATATTAAGGAAATGAACATTAATTTGCCAGATACGTGTGGCATACATACATATTATATACTGTGACGAGCCGCGTTGCCCAACGCCAGGGCTAGGGCAACACGACGTGCACGAGCCGGCCGCACACCGCACAACGCCTGGATATGCGCAACCCGACGCACACTATTACAGGTAACACGAGCAGCCGCGGCGCGGCCCCGATAAGGTTTCGGCGCTCCCACATGCGAGGAGGGCAGGGGACCGCCAGACTCTAGGGTCATAAAAGGGCGGCCAAAAGAACTAATTAGCCCATAGAAATCCATGGGACGGGTGTCCTGAAATTCACCACGTCACAACATATATTTTTAACTTCTGATATACTGAGACATCCCATAGATATGAAAACATTCTGTGTACGTATATTAGAGATTTTGTTCCGTGTGGACATACATAATACCAAAACATCTTTCATTAATTTACGTATATCCTCGAAATTTCGTGAAAATGGAGGGACAGGATTAAGAACTATTGGAATTAGTAAAACATGACGGTTTATGATCTCTCGAAAACCTTAAAAAATGCCGATGACAGGCAAAAAAATCTGCACGGATCCTATTTGCGCCAAATAAAAGAATCTTGATTACACGTGCGGACGGCATAGTGTTAAGTTCTTCACCTAATCAAACCAAATATGTATTTTCAATATAAATGCAATCACAAATAATTAAAAGAAAATATTTTATTTAAAAATTGAATTTCGATCGAATTTTAAACGCGCGTATCAGCCTTTTCTATACTATCGAAAGATTTTGCTGTTAGCATTATTAATGAAGGTAAAAATAAATAAATACCTTAGTGTAACTGTGGACACGTTTAGTCCTTCTTGTCACCATCCTCAGGATCCTTGAGCGTGTGCCACTGGGCAATGGGACGTCTCGGGGATGCCAACATGTCCGACCAATGTCTTAATTCCGTTCCACTCGCATTATAGCCCAAAATCACTTTACCGATCGGTTCAGACGTGCCAATACGATCATAATCTACCACGGTGACTACCAGCTGCACTTTCTAAGGAGATAAAAATTCATTCGCAGTATTACTCAATAGTTATTAAATCACCAGATTCAATCAAGTTCCAGTAAGAGCAGAAGTGCAAGTTTAAAGTATATATGAAATATCCTAAACTAGGGTAAGTCCGGGATATATGAACCACCGGTATAGACGGACTAGTCGAATATTTGGCTGGGGTGTCACAGCAGCGCTGCAGTCGTTGTCTGAAGTTGTTCTTGAGTAGACGGAACCACGCTTAGTTTTGCTCATGAGTTTCATGCGTATTTTAGAAGAAAACTTTGTTTATTTCTTTTGGTGAGTTGACAAATATTTTATACTGGATTTATTTGATATGTGGTTAAGTTAGTTTAAATGATTTCGACGTAAGATCAATTCTATAACTCAAGTGTATACTTGAGTACAATCTTAACCTAAAATGGCATGCCGGTAGCGTTGTTTGTCTGGACGGGAAGCTGGTCCATCTATCCCCGACAATTGGGATAGATGGCCTACTTGAAAAAACCTGGGATAGGCGGACCATATCTCCTATTAGGGCTTTACTTTCTATATAAATGGATATATGGAAGAATGGATGGATGGACGTGAATATAAATCAGACTACCTATATTCTCTAAGTATATTGACTATTAAATTTACTTATCCTTTTTCAAATAGTTTATAACTCTATACTAATCACTTTTCAAGCATTTACAATTGTTCGAGGTCATATATACATATTATGGAAAAATATACCAAATCCTAGACATTGCGAAATTTCTGAAAAAATGACTTTAAAAAAACATGGTCCAACTATCCCGGACTTACCCTATATGAGAAAATATACAATTTAATGAACTTTCGCTTAAAGAGAATATCACTTTTCGGAAACTCAGAACTTCGGAAGTTGTTATAAGATAATGAAAAATGTGTTCATAATAGTTTAAATAATGAACATGTCACAGCCCGAGCATGTCGAAACCGCTTAAAGTGATGTGAAAGTGACGACATGGAAGTTTCGTCGATGAAACTTTTCTCTGAATTGGGTGTAACAAATCGTTTCTAAGTTTATAACATGAATATGGTAGCTATAAGGAAAGTCCTGACACCCATGGAAATTGAATTGTTTAAAAATTTGTTTATAGGTTGTGACGTGATATTTTTAATGGAAAACGCCATCACAATATTTAATTACAAAATTTAGTTCAATATGACTGGGGCAGACGGAGGACGTAATGGAGTGGGGCGGAAAGGACCTCGAGCCGAATTTTTGTTAATAAAATTTATTGTTATTACATGTTTGTACGACATTTATAAGATTTCATATCTCGCCTAACTGAAGTTTCATTAGTATTGAAATAAGCGCGTTTAAAACCTATTATTCGTGTCTTCCGCCAGCGCTGCCGTCTTAGTTCCTTTATTTCAGAAGGGCTGAAATACCATAAAATGTCGACGAATAATCCATCTCCTCACGTGTAATGTTTCTGGTCGTTTCTCATTTAAATTTAGAAGTATTTGCGTTTCGATTATCTGCCACGTCACGCCGAAATTCGGGCGGGTTCACTGGTACAGGTTGACATGGTGTGTGTGGCACTCGACGAAAAGAGACGAGGTTCGACAACACGAACGGAAAAAAAAAGAACTACCCTCGAAAGATAGGTCGCCGGTACGGCCCGGGCACGGAGGAGACTAGCGTTTTCGGTAGTCGACACGCGAATTCGCCTCGTCACCTAGTTTCCGAAAACTCTTACAAAAATACACTTCACAAATGTCCTTCAAGATGCCGCAACGCTAGTCGAGAAGAAGAAAAAAGTCCGGCTCGGGAGACCCTCTTAATCCTTTCGCTACGGCAGTCCCGTCCGCCGAAGTACCGTCACTGAACAGAAACTCGCGCCGAAAATGTGCCGCACGAATGCCGCATCTATGCGGCGCTCGTACCCACAGGTCGTGGCGTGGATGCATATCGTGGATCTATGCGGCGCTCGGCGTGAAAGGGTTAAATAGTCTAGGGTTACGATTTTATCCGAGGTCGATGATGGCCTGTGACCCCTTAGTGGAATTTTTTGCCTCAATTAAAAGCACGAAAGCATCCGAAATTCAAGTTCTTGACGCACTTTTTTCCTTACAGAGCAACGGCGACGGTTTTGCGGGCGCGTGACCGGATCGCGTCGAAGCGCCGAAGGGTTGTGGTATCCCCGGGCGCCTGCCGGGCCCTTCGGGGGACTCCTCGTCAAGGTAAAATTTCTAGCTCCTGGTCTCAGAGTACCGCCGCAGTCCTGCCGTCCTAGTGGTCCTGAGGCTCGTTCGGGAAGACGTAACCTCGGGCATCTCCCATCGCGCGGCCACCTGAGGTTCCGGTCTCCAAAGACGACGATTGTCGCTGGGACGTCTCGGCTCTAAAGGGCTCCCCCGTTGCCATTATCTCTTCCCAGGCCGCAAACGGGATTCCCTTAGATGTATACTGCGGTTCGAGCAGTCGGTGTCGGCGGCAGATGCGCCAGAAAGCTGGAGCCCTCCCCACAGGCGGGCGCATTCTGGACTACTGTCTCAGCCGGCGCCCCATCCTCGCGGGTCCGGCATTTGGATGCCCCCCGGGTGGAGCCGGCGCTTGTCCCTAGGTCCTGGCCCGGCTGGTTGGTGTGACCCTGGGTTATGTCCTCGCTTGGTAGTGTTGCAGTGTACCGATGTTAGATGCCCCTCCTGCATGTGTCTCCTGAGCGCTTCGTCTGCCCCTAGGTCGCTTCCCCGTTCCCCTCGCGTGCACCACCTTGACGTAGTGAGGGGGCTTGCGTGCCTCGATAACTCCCATGGTCATGCCGGCAGGGGTTTTATCCCCCGGCAGGTCCTACCATGCCGGACGGACATGGGACGAGAGGCCGGACTAACAATAAGAGTGAACTGGGAGATCGTGGCCTCCTTCTGTGAGCAAATCATGTTGCAGAAGGGGGTCACGGAGCGGGATCGAGAGTTGGCCATTCCCGCCCGCTGAGGGTGGGGAGGCGTCCTGGTGTGGCAGGTCATCCGCCGCCTCTCGGGTGACCGCCCTGCCCCCCTTGCTGTTTCGGGGAGCTCCAGCGGCGTGGGTGAGAGACCAGAGAATCGTGTACCTGGTCCCATTTGCAACCCTCGCCACCGAGATCGGTAGGGGACAACAGTCCCCATTGCACGTCGACCCTGAGGAGCAGCGACCCGGCTGCGTCCCCCCCTCCAAGAAGGATCCCGCGGTCGGGTCGCTGGAATCACAGTGGTCCCGAGTGTGGGCTCGGGACTCCACTGTATATGATCTCCCCCCCCCCCCCGAGAGGTGCTGGCGAGGTGGTGTGGACCCGGCCCGCCGGCGAAACACAAGGTATTTCAGAAGGACATTTTTCTCCCCGAGGTGAGCACTGACAACGGGCACAGCGCGAGGGGTCGGGGTGCGTAACCGATCCTCTAACCTCCCCTAATACACCGAGGCTGGCCATCGTGTGGTTTTTAGCGGGTGCAAACCCCACACTACCGCTGCCCCCTAGGGGGGGTTCGCAACTGTAACAGACACCTCCACTCCCTGGGGGGTTATCTATATGTAAAAGAAAGGCCTCTTCCACGTGGTGGTCGATAGTGTCACCATCGGGGATCGTCGGTGGTGTCTTTAGTATGGCTGGGGGAGACGGGGCGCAATCCTAGCGCTCGACGATTGGGATATATCCAACGTTTCCGATCCGGTTTAACCCGGATTGCCCCGAGTCGTTCCGGGTCACCCTAGGTCCCGGTCGGTCGATTTACTACGATTACGTTTTTTTTCTCGTATATCTAGAGGACTCGCTATCCCCTGGCTTCCTTCAACGGAATATAATCGTATTTAATTGAATTTAAAAAACTTATAGTTCGATCTAAATGCGTTTTCTACGATACACAGCTCGTGGTGATGGCTGGTGGTCGGGGTGGCAGCTCGGGCGGCGTGGGCGTACAGCCGAGGGCTGGAGTCCCAATGTCGATGTCAATGTCAATGTCACACTGATATATCGGTTACGTTAACAATAATAAAGTGAAATTTTACTATATAAGTAGTAAAAATTTTTGTTATTTTTCCTAGGAAAATATAGTAAATGTAGATATTCATTTATATACAATTCAAATATAGTAAACGTAATAGTTCATTTTACTCTTCCCAAGAGGCAAAAAATATAGTACTCGTCACTAGAATTCCTAGTTGAGATCAAAAGTTAATTGTATTATAAAAAGTATTTGCGTCATTTTGGAACTATGACAACTAGTTAAAAAGTAGCTCATTCAACTAGATTTTTCTCTCATTGTCAGTACAGATTCAACCTTACATTGTGCTCTTCTGAACACTGTTATGGTTATGTAATCAACACCCGAGCGCCACCCAATTGAGCTATTAAATATGTATATGTATGCACTAAATGGTAATAATATTAATAATAATGATGATGATGATGACAATGATAATAATAACAACAATAATAATAACTATTAAAAACTTATTTCCGCATGTTTAACTAAAAATAACGTCGGCTATGTACTGAGTGTTGGGTACGAGAAATCCTATCAAGTGTCGTAAAATTGAAGTGCGTTCATTTGTTTGAAAAATCGCAAAGCAAAGGGTTTAGATGATAAAACTTTTTTGCTGTACTGGACCCTAGATATGATTTTTAATTAAAAAAAAAAAGTAGGCTTTACCAGGTTTTGCTACACCTGCCATATAATAACTATTAATTACCGAAATATATTAACGTCCAATTAAATTTGAAAATACAACTTACCTGTATCTGCTCGAAAGGTACCTCAAATGTAAAGGATTCGTTGTAATAGGGATTAAGAGTGCATTTCTTAATGGACGTTTTTTTCTTTTTCAACCGCTTGCCATTTTGCATGAGAGCTATCTTCACGTAAGGATCTGAAAGTCCACCAACGTCCATCTTCTTCAGATTCTTCGCTTCCAAAATGACCACTGTTAATTTGCCTGCCGTTGGTACGTATCTCAACGAGAAGCAGATATCACCGAGTTTGTTGTCCTAAAGTAAATAAATTATTCATTTATCTAGTTAATATATGAGCCGCTCAGTGCACACATCGACTAACTCCACTTTTTGAAAAATCTTAAATTTAGGTGTCAAAGCACTTGGTATAGTCATAACTTTTTATATTTATAATATCTTTCCTGATTAATAGAGATTAACACCATTAAACGGCAACATTTTTTTGGGCATTGAATAATAAGTAATTTATTTCAGAAGCCATTTTGATTAACTCCATACTCTAATGTAAATCGTAGACGAATACCTGCCAGTATAGTATTATTGGATTATCTGTTGCGGCCGAACATCGACGCTTTTTTTTTTAAACAGCCGAAGATGCTTTCCCCCTTTCAACAATACGAGTAATAAAATCGCATCAGCAAACAGATAGAAAGAAGCGCAATGCAGACGGTAGTTAGTATAACAGTGATCTCTCACGCTGAATGTTACCGTATACTTCACCAATATTACACGGACTACATATTTTTTGGTCTTTTCAACATTACTCCCTGATTGTTTTTAAAGAACTAAATATTATACCGTTATAATCAAGATGAGTGAAACTAATAACAATGTGGATGTGGAAAGCAGTGATGATTCTTCAATACGATTTATCAGCAGAAAGTCTGGGGCAAGAAGACGTTTATCGTGTTTCTCGGATTCATCTGATTGCAACGGTACAAATTCCCCAACAAACACATCGATTGGAAGGAAAAGAAGTCGTAATCCTGATAAATGGGCACGAAATTTACAAAAGCATAATGGAACAAAAGGTTTGGCATACAGGAATAGGGGAGGAAATTTAATACCTGCAAAAACATTTGTCGATATAAAATGCAGACGATTATTTTTTGGCTATGCTTTCTTATTAATTTTAAATACCGTTAGATGAAAACTATAACTGTATTTATGTATTCTACATTATACATTTGAAGTTATATTATAATAGGAATTTTAAAAAAGAATCTACATTACTTCATCGCATTTCTCAACTTTTTGTTTTATGGAGTTAATCAGTGTGTGCACTGAGCGGCTCATATATAGCTGCTGAGAGAAATATGTGCTTCGTAGTTTTGATTCTATTTTAGAATATCAGGAATAATTTCTATTTAATTTCATGTCCAATCCACTTATCCAAGTCTTTCCAATTGATTGCACATGTGTCTTGTGAACATTACTTTTAATTTTTAGAATGGTTGCACTGACGGACTTCCTTATGTAAAAATACCATTATTTCAAGCTGTATTTATTTCCACTTTTTAAAATATTCTATGTACATACCTGGCCACCTTCACCCTCTACACTTTGTAACTCTCGCCACTCTTCGATCGTTTGTGCAAGATCTACTTGACACAATGGTACTTTGACTTCACCGATCTGGTCGTGTTTCGAAAATCTATCGAAATCGAAGATCGCAAAGACCAACGTTTTATTCATTGCATCAGCATACGGAACACCCTGGAGAAAAATATAATGAATAAATCATCGGAATTCAATTATTTATCAACGTTGTACACGTCAGACATTTTTTTAAGGTGATACGAAAGTGGCATCAAAGAGGTCTCGTTCGTGAAACTTTACTCCAAAATGGTTGTACTGAATCGTTTCAAACTTTCCAATGTGGATATGGAGGCTGCAAGGAAGGTGCTGACCTTAAGGTGAAGTGAAACCCCCTTCAAATCAGTCGATTCGAATACAACACTTTTTTTTTAAGGGTCTTAGACCAAACTGTCCGAAACTTTGACACATCACTTCTGATTATCTAAGAATTGTCCTGACAGACTCAAAATTTGGATTTTTTAAGAAAATTTTTTAACTCAGCCCAGACCAGAACTAAAATGGCGTCGAACTCTCATATTTCGATCAATATACAATTATCGAAGGCTCTGATATGAGAAACGAAAGGGTCAGGACAATTTTACGACAATTTAGAACACTCTGGCAATCGATAAACTCGCATTTGAACGGGATAAAGGCAAAAAAAGTGTTGTATGCGCTTCTATGCTAAAACAATGGGAATACGAGGTCTCGGAGTGAAAATTTAATTGACCTGGAAATCACAGATGGCGCAGGGTGTCCCTCTGCAGTCAATTAGGACCCCAGAAAGCATGAATCCAGAGGATTTCTGGACTTTTACTTCGATTTCTTTATAATTATTGTACGAAAACAACAGGTGGAGTATGCCATTTGGTACAATACCCAATATAATTCGACACAGCTGTCAATATAAAAACGAACGTCGGCAACGTAGGCGTTTAAAAAAATCTTCTTTATCGACGTCGATCAAGTTCCTCGACGTGTTTCACTTCACCTTAAATCATTTCCGGCCTTCCTTAACACCTTGTACAACCAGTAGTACAAAAATAAACAATGATCTATTTTGAGAGTCAATTATATAATGCTGGAAATTCTCTGACACGTAAACTTACTTTAAAGGTGAAGGTCTCGTTGAACACGGGACTAAGCGTCTTCCTATGGACCTTAGTCTCAAACTTTTTCTTTTTATCCGGCAACAAGTAAACCTTGACGTATGGATCCGAGGTTCCACCCATATCCAACGCTGGAAGATCTTCTGCTTGAATTACCGTAACGGCTAAAGTAGTCGCGTTGAAATCGTATTCAAGCTGAAAGGAAAACCAAAATAATTATCAATACTGATCACATTATTCAAAAGCAGTTTCGATATGCAAAACTAATCTGACTACGTTTCGTTTCTTCCCTCAACTGATAAGATAGGCGACATCTCTTTCTTCCTACGAAAAGCTTAAATCAACTATTTTTGCCGAATTACCACCAAAGGACTCGGTTGAGTTTTGTACTAAGTACCATGTAAAATCAACGATACACCCACCCAGCTGACCGAGAATATTTTACCCGTGTCTACTCCTCTGCTATAGGCGTGTAATGAGCTGTATAGTATGGGGGTTCAATGGCAGCGACTGTTGTACTTGCAGTGGCCTCCAAAAAGCAACGACGTGGGGGAGGGGCAGCCCCCACGCGTCCAAGACCCATCCGTAAACCTCCTCGTGGTGGGGCTGGATGCGGATCCCTATGGATCCGTAACGAAACGGTAAATGGCTACTGGGGAACCATGAGAGATGCTCGCTCTGCGGAGTTTGACCGCACTCTTGTTCCCCCTAGAGTTACCGGCGAAAGGTGGCCCTCATCATGGGAATACTTCTCGACCGGACGGCTGGAGGTGCTCCGGGTAACCCGTCCCGTGTCCTCGGTTTATCCGGGTGCGGGTTGGGGGCCGGCCCTACCGGCCGTAATAAGAAGGCCGGCGACGCTAGTACGGGCCGATAGGTGGGATAACCGATCCTATATTTGCCAGGTCAACTCGGCTGATAGATCGGGTTCCCACTCGACCTAGCCGGGAAAGCTCGCCAAACCACGCTGGAGCATTACGTCTCAGCTGGCGCCTTGCACGGATGCTTGCACCACGCGGGTGCAGGGGAGGGACCTCCTCGAGGTTCCCCGCGGGCAACGGGCGGGGTCAAGCGGCCTCCCTTCGGGGAGTGCGTCGCGGAGGCCCCGACCCGGCTAGCGCCTCCCAAGGGTTTGTCGAGCGGTCCGGAGCATTCGGATTTTTCCAGGTCCGTCATGGGACTACCCCCCCCCGATAGTGGGGGCGGTAGTGACGTAGATTACATATACCCTTCGGGGTGCCGATAGGAACCAATGGTTCAGGAGCGGTTGGCCTTCAGGCCAGTACATCGAGACTTGTTGTACTTGCAGTATCTCTTCATATTTTCTTTGACGGAAGGGCGTGAATCAAAAAATTATAACGATTAGATTCATATTTTGAACGTCTTGAGTTAGTTACTGCAAAGATATTAGTTAATATTTATGAGTTCTCGATATACGACGGCATGAATTTCAGTCTCATCGTCATCATCGCACTACCATCGCCATATTTCCCTGTCAGATGGCGTAAGTGATGGTACTGGCATTGTTTCTTTATTTTGTTTTCCGTGGCTGATGGCGGCAGCTCCTCCAACCATTTTTTTTCACATTCATACAAGGCGACAGTTTCTACCACCACAAAAAATCTCCTGGACGGGCGTTTACTCCTTAGAAAAAAGACTTTGTGTCTTTTATACGCACGTTTCAGCACCAGCAGATTGTCGGAAGGTGTTCAGGAATGCAAATAGCCGTCACACTTCTCGTCTTGCTATCGCCGCCGTTTTTTCTTCCTTCTCCTCCTCTTCGTTAAGAGCAAGCTCTCTCGGCCTTGCAAGTTATATCGACAGCGATTAGCTGTCAAAGAGTGGATTTTTGTATTACGTCTTACTCATAGAGCTGTGCCTCCTATTCCCCAAAATATCTTAACGGAATATCTTATTTTGTTGAAAAACCTTGGAATCTCCGCTCTCCAGGTTTCATGAATTACTGCCGGACGAATACAGTACTCTGTGTAGATTAGGATAGTTATCCGGTGGTGTCTGGGGCCAAGCGTAGCCCTACTAGCCATGCAATTAAAAAACAGTCTTGGGGGAGGGGTTCTTCCGCCATTGTGATCGTCGGGAAATGCAAAAATCTCGTGAATAAACTGGATTAAATGAGCTAACATTTGTTAAAACAAAGTATCTAACAGCAAAACTGAGGATTAAGAGGAACTGCACCCAAGACGAAATAACGAAGAACAACGTATTAAGATCTATACAGAAATGGAAGTATAACCGCTACAGTGTGAACAGAAGTACATAGCGATAGTGACCCACAGTTTCTAATTTAAAGTCGAATTTTAATTCAATTTTAACTTTAAGTTTGAAATTGAATTTGAATTCGAATTCAGTGTTCAAAGCCCGTGCCTTGCTGTAACATCGGCTCTCTATTCCCTTGGGCGCCGCCGAAACTTATGGACGTAGCGACCGGCCCCAACACTGCGTTACAGACTTCTAAACAAAGTGTTCAGGAAAACCCACGCCAACTGGGATTCATCGAGACCGACGGCTACGCAGAAAACATCCTCCTGTTCGACACGTTTCTCATCGAACACCGCGCAGCACACCGATTCCTCTTCATTGTCTCTGTCAACGTTAGTAAGACGTTTGACTAGGTCTCGCACCCCGCTTAGCTGGAGTCCATTATAACGTGTACTCCACAGGCAGCATAAGGCTTGAGGGATCTGGGTAGGTTTCGCGATTAATTTACCCAAAGCGTGGTGTTCGGCAGGATGCCCCCCTCTGCCCTGTATTATTCAACTGTGTAATTCACCGTCGTCTCGCACAGCTACCACTAGAAATCGAAGCTATTATTGGAGGCAGCACAATCAACACCACTGACTTCGCTGACGACCTTGTTTTGTACGCTTCCTCCAAAGCAGGTCTGCAAGAGCTCATCGACAGGGCGGAAAGAGTAGTGAAGTCCGCGGATATGCGATTAAACCCTGAGAAGAACTTCACTGCCTCGATGGCCGGTCTGGGCCACAGGAAGAAACTTGCAGCAGATGCCGCAGCCACGTTCCATCCCGGACCCCTCCCAGCACTCGCGAGAACCAGCGAGTGGACCTACCTAGTTATACGCCATCGAGAGTGGACGATTTTTCTGCGTTTTTTATGCTGTGAACGAAACCGATTGATCCATTTAATACAGAGATGTGCATTTTTTAATATTTCACTTCGCTTGGGTCGCTTGAATTTTTCCGTCGATAAAGGTTGTAACCGAACCAACTGAAACATTGACACATGACGTGTGAGAACCTAAGAATTGTCTCGGCACTTCCAAAATTTTGATTTTCGAAAATTAACCCTTGACATAGCCGAAACCAGAACCAAAATGGGATCGAGTTCTCACGTTTCAATCAATATATATTGTTGAAGGCTTTAGTATGAAAAACGAAAGTGTCAGGACAATTGTACAACAATTTGGAATATTCTGATAATCGAGGAACTCGCATTTGAACCCGAGTCGAAATATAAAGGTCCGCACCACGTCCGGAGTAGGTCCATAGGCCCGAAATGAGACCATAGGATGTCCTTTGCGGTGCCTCGGTCCATCAACAGTCCGCAGCAGATCCATATAAGTCCGGAAATCGGGATTTGGACGACATGTCCGTAGGACGTCTACGGCAGGTACAATTGTCGAGAAAAAATGTTGAACTTAGACAACTTTGCGCCAGCAGCCAACCAAAATACACAAAATCAATTTTGTCTACGAGGTTGACTCAATCCTAAGATTCCCCGTATAAATATTTTCTTTAGTGGCAACGTTACTTTATCCGACCAACAGGACAATACCCGTACTAGGACTCGACACTCAGTAATCCGTAGGACGTCCTTTGCGGTGCCTCGGTCCGTCCTCTACAGAGTAGTGATAGCCGTAGCAGAATTCATCTAATTTTGAGATTAAACCATGTGATTCTCGAGATTAGACCAAACAAACACAGCCAGACGACTCCTGCGGACTGTTGTGTGCTATATAGGGATATGCGATCCAGACAAGCCAAAAAATTGGTCACCCATATTATATGGCTCTCGCCGCTCCGTCGATTATCAATACTCAGGTGCCACCTGTAGACACCTTTATGTACTGTAATAATTTCTTGACCCACGCGGAAACTTTCCCGGGTATACCCGTTCTTTCCCTGGATTTCCCCCTGTTATTCTCCTGGGACTCAGCCAGCCAATAGTTCGACCCGGCACGGGAACCCGTCGTAAAACCCTTGACCGGCGGACCATGTGACGGAAAAGTCCGGCACTGCTGCAAACATTCAAACACAAAAAGGATCCCATAAGGGCCCTCATAGTAGTTACGGTAAAATAATCTAGACTAAGTTTTGTGTGTAAGAGCGAACAGTTTTGGTAGCAGTAGGTCTAGGCCTGCGCGAAAACTGACCGACAATTCTCTGCCTAAACGCTGACCAAAGAGAAATCCGCGTTTCTCGCTTTTCGAGGAGGCTTTCCTGCTCGAAACCTTTCTTAACAAGGGCCCGACTTTGCTAGCCCACTCAGAGAGGTGTTGACTCTTCTCGGCGACCAGAATCGCTCTGCTCGACCTTCTGGAGACCACAGGCCATGGTGCGCACCAAATTTACGGTCATCACAAAATACGCGAATGAGTGAAGTACTTCCCCTTTCCCCTGCTCCATGCCCCGCACCTACAGATGCAATTTGGGGGGGGGGGGGAGAAGGAGGCTATTGATAGGACCTGCGTCGCCGCCGCGTCCCTTCAGTCGCTTCCACGGACCGCACCATCGCGACTCGCATCCGGAGATCTCCCTCCTTCCGACATCGCCGCAGCCTTCACGGATCCCATGATCCTCGCTACTTTTGTCGCGATAGTTCGAGGGATCGTGACTACCACGCCAACAGACCCTAGGAGAGGAATCAAGACCGCCAAGCGACCTCGTAAAGTCACCTCGTCCTGGCCCTTACCACGGCTAACGGTGGCATTTTCGTCGCCCCCGCTGTTACCACCAACGCTGACTTGTGACTCTGCGAATCTTTCTTGCGGCCCGACCTCTATGAAGTTCATGGTCCACTCCAGAGGGTTCGCTGGGAGCCGTCACTCCACTCCGAAAGGACCGCCGTCTATCCCGTGAAAGAATATCTCGGAACTGGCCTCTCGGTCGAGGAATCAACTCGTACCTGGGGTGCCTCAGAGGGTTCGTTCCACCAAAAGAATATCGCTACTCCTTCGAGACGTCACGGTTTTGGCTGCGGAGTCACGTCACATTTAACGCATCACGCCTTTCGTCTCCTCCATTTCTTCGAAACTTCAAGGCCCATTACGGACAAGGAATGGCTCCATCTCGGGGTAATCGCAGCCGTTGCAATCGGAATATACCTTCATTGGTGTTGGGGTTCATGCCGGAACCCAATAAATTACACCAACAACGCCGGGTTTGAGGCAGCTCATATGGGGGAAGGCCTTTCATTTTAACACTATGCCGTCCGCACGCGTAATCAGGAATCTTTTGTTTGGCACCGGTAGGACTTGTTCGGATCATTTCGCCTGTCGCTGGGGTTTTCTCTTCGCACACGACACCAACGTGGTGTCACCGGCATTCATTCAATGGCTTCGCACACGACACCAACGTGGTGTCATAGGCATTTATTCGATTGCTTTCGTGGACACCAACGTGGTGTCACCGAACAGCATAGTGTTAAGCTAGTCGCGCGCGCAACACGCGAAAGACGCCAACCCACGAACTGACCGTTTCGTACCACTGCGACACCGAGAGAAGACGCTATGGGTACTCTACTACCCTCGTGACCATGAATAACAATGAGGTGAGGACGCCCTACACCAAATAGCCTCTATGCCGTGGAAAAGAGGTGCCCAGCACCCCCGCGACCCGCGCAACCACGGAACAGGGGGCCCTATCCGAAAAAACTACCCTAGCCGACGCATAACTATGGGCGGACCCAGCGAAACCGCGACAATACCGTAAATAACAATAAATAATGCAACCAAAGGTAACAAAATGGAAGTTATTTTCGTTCTTCGGTTTAATGTATCTGTTTTTTAATGCTTGTTTATACTTATACTAATCTAGAGAAGCCGAAAATGTAACGAAAAATACTTAATGTAGGTATTGTTAGCAGCATGACACAGTGATATGCTTCTAATAATGCCTATATAAATGTTAAAACGTTACACACCTTGTATTGAAGTTTTCCGAGCTTAACTTCGCTCTGTTTGCTTTCAGCTTCATCTGGTTCTTCCGCGTTGTCAGTGAGTTCTTCCATATCCGGCTGTACCTACAGAGAGTGAAGTGGATTCCACGAGTGATAAATTCTCATCTAGTTCTACATTTAGAATGGCACAAAATATGCGCACCTTGTCCTTGTATGTGCTGCCGAGGAGTTGGACGGACTTGAGGTCCACGGCACCCTTCAGGCCTTTTTTTCCATCTTTGGAACGTCTCTTGCGACAACATCTTCGTATGCAGCAAAAACAGATCCCCAGGACCACTATTCCGACAGCTGCCAGAAAAAGCGTTTCAAATCAATATATTTCTATAAACGTATTCTAGTTAAACAAATTTTCAACTTTTCCGGTGTGATGAAATAATTGCGAACTGTATAGATATTTGGCTGTATGTGCTACTTATTCACTTTACTCAATAATTCTTGTATCAGATGTTGTGATGATATTTAACTTTTATATATAATTTAATATACTAAGTTTAATCGAAATTTATTGTGATATTCAAATTGTACGAAATATATAGGCATATACGAAATATGCTTTCTCTATTGCTATAGAAACAGAAATAAACGTTTGACTAGCTGACAAAATCCAACAATTATAAAAACTTTTTAATAAAATACGACCGACCTTAAGAAAACCATTACATAATATACAATAATTATGTACGAACTACTTATCTACTAACTATTGTTGTTTTTAAGGATTTATTGCTTAACAAGTTTTAACTCTGCGCAGAAAAGAAACGAAGTGTATAATAAGTGTGTTCAATTTTATGTTCTGTTACCTTTTGTTTCTATTTTTTTAGCCGACTTCAAACATTGAAAGCAATAAATACTTAAACATGTACAGTAGTTAATAGATAAGAAGTTCATAATTATTTTTTACTTTGTAGTGTATTCTTTATGTCGGTTTTTTTTCAATTAAAAAGTTTCTATTTTTCCATTTTCAGTTGTTACTTCTTTCATTAAGGCTTCAAAATGTTAATTATATAAAGTGAAAGAGGTCGGTTCAAGTAAAAAGAAACAATCACGGTGTGGTTACTGTCAACTGTTCGCGATTTCCTTTGTCTATCTTCTCCTTTTATGATCGAATCATAATGAAACTTACATGGGACCACCTTGAAAGTACCCATTTTAAGACAGAAAAAAAATGATCGAAATCGGTTAACCCGGGGAAAAGTTATTCGTAAACATTCATTAAAAAAAATATATATGGACGGTTGGAATCGAGAACCGCCTTCTATTTTGAATTCGTTTAAAAATGAGACATTTTTGTTGAAGTGAAATGATCCGTCACACAAAAATTTGTCTATCCACCGTGACGTGGCAGGATTCTGCCGTCACCAGTCGGAGCGGAGCGGGAACGGTAAGTACCGAATCATACATTAATTCTTTTCAGAATCGGTCGGCGACGCTCTGGGTCTCTAGGAACAATCAGCAAATGTAACAGCGTATTGTTTGAGTAATCGGTCGGCCGGCAGACGTACCACACGCAGTTCTGTGTGGGCCCTCGGTTACCGTGCTACGCCGAGGACGTTTGGGGAAGGCGCTCCCATGTATCGGGCAATTAGCGGCTTTCGACAGAGCGTGGACCTATAATCGACGCACCGCGAGACCCTTCCCAACATCTAGCGTGTGCCTAGTTAATCGTCCAGCGTCCAACGGTCTCGCGGTCGCCTGAGGAATTCGGGAGGGGGTTTTCTGCATTAATTCTTTTCATAATCGGTCAGCCACGCTCGGGGTCTCTAGGAACAATCAGCAAATGTAGCGGCGTATTGTTTGAGTAATCGGTCGGCAGGCAGACGTACCACGCGCAGTTCTGTGTGGGTCCTCGATTACCGTGCTACGCCGAGGACGTTTGGGGAAGGCGCTCCCATGTATCGGGCAATTAGTGGCTTTCGACAGAGCGTGGACCTATAATCGACGCGCCGCGAGACCCTTCCCAACATCTAGCGTGTGCCTAGTTAATCGTCCAGCGTCCAACGGTCTCGCGGTCGCCTGAGGAATTCGGGAGGGGGTTTTCTGCATTAATTCTTTTCATAATCGGTCAGCCACGCTCGGGGTCTCTAGGAACAATCATCAAATGTAGCGGCGTATTGTTTGAGTAATCGGTCGGCCGGCAGACGTACCACGCGCAGTCCTATGTGAGCCCTCGGTTACCGTGCCACGTCGAGGGCGTTTGGGAAAGGCGCTCCCATGTATCGGGCAATTAGTGGCTTTCGACAGAGCGTGGACCTATAATCGACGCACCGCGAGACCCTTCCCAACATCTAGCGTGGGCCTAGTTAATCGTCCAGCGTCCAACAGTCTCGCGGTCGCCTGAGGAATTCGGGCGATACTGCCGGCCTTCGGAGCTCATTGTCCTGGATGCTCCGAATGCCCTCGGTGCTACTACGTCTACCGTGCCCCGCTTGAAGAGATCCGCTGCCGAAGGGAAAGCACCACCGTTGCCGCCCGCTCCATACGAATTGGGTGAGTAAACTCAAACCAGGGTCAAATAGACTCCGTTTTCGTTGTATTAATATCTGACTTATTGCCGAAACCCTTCTCGACGCGTGCCACTCCCGCTATTTTCGATCTTACTGTGCGGCTCGGGACAGACGGCCGACGATGCGTATAAGGATAGTGTTGGTTCGGTAGTCCCGCGATCCCGGGGACCTCCCCTGCGGGGATGATAGCTCTCGCACGTTTACGTTGTGCCGTGTCCATGATCTCATGCCTTTTTATGGAACTCCTTCCCGGAGTCGAAATTGACAGACTGAGAACCGAGCGGAGTGCGGTAGAGCGTGCTACTCTGGAGAGTCTGCACTGCAAACCCGCTCCCGTTTTAGGTTCTTGTGCCGACGGGATCCCGAATTCCGTTGTCGAGTGTCGCCGTTAGTTATAATTATCGATTGTATCTGCTACCTGGCAAATAAAGAGCTACCGCGTCGTTGCCCGGGAATCTGAGTCCAGTTCTTCTCACGTCTCGTCCACCCGGTCCATCTTGTGTTTAGTCCGGACAACGAGCCCCCTACGTCTACCGTGCCGCAAAACGTCGGGACGACTTTCGCGGGGCTGAGTGGCCAGAGATCGGACCACTCTCACGTTCCGCGGTGTCGGTTCCGCCTCCTTGCCAGGAACTGCGGGCCACAGAGCGTTCTTCACGCCAGGCGCTCGGATCAACTTAAAGCGGCTCTGCGGCCATAAGGCGATCTCCCGTCGACTGACCTGTAGAGCGCCGATCCACCTAGCGGACCCTGATCCTTTCCCTATTTTGCAGGGCGCGAACCCGAAGCAGGAAAACGCGTTCCACCATTAACCCTTTCGTTACCTTGGACGAGATATCTCGCGACCCAATACGGGCCGATTAACGCTTTTGACGAGATATCTCGCGACCCGATACTGGCCGATCAACGCTTTTGACGAGATATCTCGCGATCCGGTAGTAACGGATTAACGCTTTTGACGATAATCTAGCTTTCTAGCACCAATATTTTGACATTCTAGATGAATATATTTTATAACTAATTCTATTCGTATAGCTAAAAGGAAGAAATAAATACAGTTTTTATTAATTTAATGAAATTATTTTTATTTACTTTCTACGTGGTATAATTGAAAACATGGTTGGAAAATATTAGTGCTAGGAAGCTAGATTATCGTAGAAAGCGTTGATCGGCTACTACCGGGTCGCGAGATATCTCGTCAAAAGCGTTGATCGGCTACTACCGGGTCGCGAGATATCTCGTCAAAAGCATTAATCGGCCAGTATTGGGTCGCGAGATATCTCGTCCAAGGTAACGAAAGGGTTAAGTAAATCAGTGTTTCTTGTACCTTATTTAAATTACTTTGCTGTCCTTATGGTTACCAAGGATGGAACAACGGACAGGAATACAGTGTACTATATAGCACGATCAGACTCATGTAGAATCGCAGTGTGTTCGGAGTGTTAATTGGTTAATAACCATTTTTAAAGGGCAAACATGCATAACATTACAAACCAGAAATCAAAGATATTATTTGTCAGTGTTAATCATTACACGGTACTTCTATTTTGATTGTACTTTAACAGTAGATTAGATCGATTTTTTTAATGGAATGCATTTTTAACAAATCTATTTTCTACAAACACATATGATTAATGTATTTTCAAGCTAGAAGCAAAACATATTTAATATTAACAGACATTATCTGCGATTTGTAATATTACGTACTTTAAACATTGTCATCAAATTCTTAACACTTCGAACACACCGTAATAATATATTGGTATGAATGTACTTCGTTGCAAATGTTGTTCCTGTCCGTTGTCTTAATCTTGGTAATAGAGACCACAATGATATAGTAATAACTAATGATGAATACGTCAGGAAAAGTACTAAGTGGTACAAAAATTTTTTTTTCATTTACTACATGTGCCCATTTGGAATGCGTTTTGTTTATACAGGATGAAGATAATTAAAAAATTGACAATGCGCGTATTTCACCTTCAATTAATAAAAGAAATACTCAGAAACCATAAGACGTTTGACAATAATTATAGCAATCGTAATAACTCCACTTCCGACCACCCATTAAGATTAAAAAAAAAAACATTTCCCGTCATTTTGTATACCTGTAAATACCAAAAAAACGTTGCGAAAACGTGTAGTGTGCTCGAAAAATTATGTAAGGGGAAGATCACGGTACGAATGTAAAGATTGTGGGACTCTGAGTCGTTCCTTGCTTTAACACGTATCACAAACAATTACACTATTAACTAATAAAATATACGTCTTCACATTAGCTTATTGCGTATTTTTCGCACTTATTACACGGAAATGTATAAATAAATAATAGTTTATTCGTTTATAACTCTATTTCGATCTAATGTAGTAAGAAGCGTCATGCATAGTTTAGGCGCAGTCCACGGCGAAGCTTGCCGTACAGAGATATTGGGTTGTTCGGAAAGTAATTTCGTTTTTTTTTTTATGAAAATGAAAGACGATTTTCTTATAGCGAATAAATATTTTATTGCATTATATATTGTCCATTCTGGTCCAATACCTTTTGCCATCTTTCTGGCAGTAGCATGATTCCACGCTCATAAAATGTTTGATTTTTGCTGTCAAAAAACTGATCCAGGTGATTTTTAACCTCCTCATTTGAAGTAAAGGTTTTACCGTCTAGAAAAATTGGTTGGTGCTATAAGCAGTTTATCAAAAACCACAAGAAGAAATTCTAAACATCGTCCTTAAATATGAATTTTCCACAATTAACGGTAAACTTCGTAAATAAAAGAACTGAATCGAGCTTACGTTATTATATTTTCAATATGCAGTAATATTTCACGAAGAAACCAAATGGATAAAAATTGTTATTTACAATTTTGCAATAATTTTTCGCAATTGTTAACATTTTTAAATTTTTTATTTCACCCTGTGACAACTCTTAATAAGAGAATTGTTTGAATTAAAGAGTTTCATTTGAATCATTTTGTCGTTTCGTTATTATATTATATACGTTATTATATTTTCAATATGCAGTAATATTTCACAAAGAAACCAAACGGATAAAAATTGTTACTTACAATTTTGCAATAATTTTTTGCAATTGTTAAAATTTTTACATTTATTATTTCACCATGTGACAATTCTTAATAAGAGAATTGTTTGAATCAAAAAGTTTTATTTGAATCATTTTATCGTGTTCCTCATCGTTTGCGAGAAATAAAATGAAAACTGAAAATCGAATAATTGTCGGATGATTTCACCCCTTCAAAATAATTTTCCGCCAAACTAAAAATTATTCGTAAGTACTCTAGACACACTTTAAATAAATCTCTAGTTTCCAATTTGTTTAATTTCCGGGTTGGGGAACTTCCCTTGTAAGATATGTAAAGAGTTCAAATATTACCATATTAATGTATTTGATTATTTAAATATCTCGACCATTCCATGACATATAGTTGTTCCGTGTTAAGTAAAAATCTCTCTCATATGGTATGTACATTGCGCAAGCGGTTAACTGAATTGTACGAAATTAAATAAATTTTTAATGTAATAGACTGAATTTATTTAGTATGGTTTAAATGGAAATAATATTTAAGATTGGATTTGAAGAATGTGGGTTGAAATCGGCATCGCAATACTATCTTGTTTCTCTTCAATGAATATTAGCAATGTTACATAAAAGTAAAAATCTCTATCATATGGTATGTACACTGGGAGACATCAATGCCTTCCCATCCTGCACAGGCGATGCCGTATCTGCAGGGGAGGCATTCATGTCCGCCACTATACATTGCGCAAGTGGTTAACTGAATTGTATGAAATTAAATAAATTTTTATTGTAATAGACTGAATTTATTTAGTACGGTTTAAATGGAAATAATATTCAAGATTGAATTTGAAGAATGTGGGTCGAAATCGGCATCGCAATACTATCTTGTTTCTCTTCAATGAATATTAGCGATGTTACATAAAAGTAAAAATCTCTCTCATATGGTATGAACATTGCGCAAGCGGTTAACTGAATTGTACGAAATTAAATAAATTTTTAATGTAATAGACTGAATTTATTTAGTACGGTTTAAATGGAAATAATAATCAAGATTGAATTTGATGAATGTGGGTCGAAATTGGCATCGCAATACTATCTTGTTTCTCTTCAATGAATATTAGCAATGATACATAAAAGTGCTGAAGAGAAACTTTTAATTGGAGCCGTCTCAATGGTGCTTACATATTTGAAATGTAAATTTCAAGGATCATTCATTTTAATAGACCTTTGGGAAATAGAGCAAAAGGTCTGTAGGAAGATTTCTTGATAAAACAGAGAAATTGCATGAACGAAGCTGAAAATATAACTGTGAACGGTTAAAGAACATAATTTATCGATTATCTATTATGAAACGGTACTTACCAACTAAAATGGCGACAAGACCCCATGTAGGTATACCCATTTCCTCCGCGAGATCCTTGCCAAGTGTTTCAATGCTAGTTTCGATAACTTTCCCTGTACTCTCTTCGGTGATTCCTTCGGGTGATACTGAAACAAAGTTTTTTTAATACCTGATATATTAAGGGGTTTCTTTAAATACTGTCAATAGTATATTGTCCGTCAGAAAAACTGTCAATGATATAAGAAGAATCTATATAAATTAAATAAATTTAATTTTAAAATTCATTTCCATCTAAATACTATTTCATAGATTCGTACGTGGAAAAATGAGCCGTTCATTTTGAAAGTGGCGTAAGTCCATGTATGTTCGAATCGAGATATTGAAGGGTTTGCGTTGGATGGAATTTAAAAATATGGGTAACAGATAACAGTAGAATTATATTTTTTGGGTTTCTAAAGGTGTCAAAATTATCATCCCAATTAGCATAATTAACATTATTTAAGAAATAATATGTTTTTGATGGCTATAAATGGACTTACGGCACTTTCAAAATCAATGAAATGACGTTTTCAATTCTTAAGAAAGCACAAGTCCATAGGAAAAGTAAATTTTCCTTGAAATAAAATTAAATGTATACACTTTTATGTTATAAAATCAAAAAAATATTCAACTCTTATTCTTTGTTAAATAATTTTTACATTAAAATTAATATTGTTTTATTTATTATTATTCAGTCTTCTCCCGTTTGTGTATGTGGGAGGGATTTAAAATAACTATGGGGTGCAGGTGGTATATAGGGTAATAAATCCATTAAGTCCTTGTATTTTAGGTTTGTGAGTGGTCTCGTTTCTTTGTATAGTGGTGCCAACTTGATATTATTAAAGTTTTTCGGTATTCCCCGTTGCGGTGATAAATCCAATGTTTTGAATGGTGCATCCTCGTTCGTTGTCGCTTTGTAGAATAACTTATATGGATCGCTTCTCAAAAATCTCATCCAACATATTTTGAACCAATTTACTCTTTCACCGTCAGTTTTTATTTTTACATTGTAATTCATACTCAAAGATTCACAAGTTTTCCCTTGGGATATTTGAATAAATTCAATATTCTTCCACAGTGTTTTTGCAATTTAATTTGTTATAAACAAATTATTAACAAATTGCTGAAAATTACAATGGCATATCCGGAGACCCGTATGAATTCGTTAGCGGATCGAAAGTGAAATTTGAAATTAAATTCTTTATAACAAAATCATTGCACACTGATAATCCCAACTGCTACTTTGATAATTAAACATAAAGCTGTGATCTCATAAAATTGTCTTGCATAATATTTTCCATATCCACTTGAAACTCTCACAATGGGACTTACGCCACATTGAAAATGAACTTTCTTATCACCTCATTAACGCAGCAAATTTTCGTGTTAGAAAATCTTAATGACTTTAAACATATTAGCAACAAGTTGCTTCAGAATGAAAAGATCATGTAAAAATGTAACTATTAAGGTAGCTAACTCGATTTTTTTGAATAATCGACTTACGCCACTTTCAAAATAAACGGCTCAAATATTGCTTCTATTAGAAGAAAGAACTTCATTTGAATATTGCCGTTTAGCGTTTAGTTGATAATATTTAAATGATAGGGTAAGTCCGGGATATATGGACCACCGGTATAGACGAACTAGTCGAATATTTGGCTGGGGTGTCACAGCAGCGCTGCAGTCGTTGTCTGAAGTTGTTCTTCTTGAGTAGACGGAACCACGCTTGGTTTTGCTCATGAGTGAATTTGAAGAATGTGGGTCGAAATCGGCATCGNATAAACCTCTCTTACGGTTTAATTTCATATTGGTCACATTTTTGTATTGTCATAATTCGTACTGTGCACCTATAATTCTCGGAGCCTTAACTAAAGATTGTACAGGTTATCAACAATTACATAAAGTTACCTTTCGACGTGGATACTTACCGGCTTTTTCATCTTCACTAATTATCGTAGGTCTCGGCGAACTTCCAATAGGATTGCCGGTTACATTCAATGACGCCTCCAAATTTACCTCCCCTTCTGGGTTTGCTTCTCTCTTTATGACCGGCATATTCTGCAAAGCAAATAAAAATGTTATTCCTCATTTCAATATTTTACCCTTCAGGAACACATAAGCATACACTTTACGTGTCCACGAGTCATATTCCTTAAAAACTGCACATAGAAAAAAAATCTGTTAGACTTATAGAAACATCTATACATTTTATAGATTTTATTTCTTGAAGTAGGGACAGCAGATTAGTGAACTTAGTGTAAATATTTTGTTATTAAAAATCCGTAAAGATTACAGATAAATATCTATGACGATTGTATGTAAGTATTTGTAAGGGTTACGGATAAATAATTGTAATGGTTGCAAATAAATATTTGCAATGGTTGCGGATAAGTAACTGTAAAGAATACAGGTTAAGGTGAAGTGAAACACGTCGAGGAACTCGATCGATGTCGATAAAGAAGATTTTTCTAAATGTCTACATTGCCGACGTTTGTTTTTATATTGACAGCTGTGTCGAATTATATTGGGTACTGTACCAAATGGCATACTCCACCTGTCGTTTTCGTACAATAATTATAAATAAATCGAAGTAAAACTCCAGAAATCCTCTGGATTCATGCTTTCTGGGGTCCTAAATGAATGCAGAGGAACCCCCTGTGCCATCTGTGGTTTCCAGGTCAATTAAATTTTCACTCCGAGACCTCGTATTCCCATCGTTTTGGCATAGAAGCGCATAAAACACTTTTTTTGCCTTTATCCCGTTCAAATGCGAATTCATCGATTACCAGAGTGTTCTAAATTGTCGTAAAATTGTCCTGACCCTTTCGGTTTTCATATCAGAGCCTTCGATAATTGTATATTGATCGAAATATGAGAGCTCGACGCCATTTTTGTTCTGGTCTGGGCTAAGTTATAAAATTTCTTTCGAAAATCCAAATTTTGAATGTGTCAGAACAATTCTTAGATGATCAAGAGTGATGTGTCAAAGTTTCGGACAGTTTGGTCTAATACCCTTAAAAAAAAGTATTGTATTCAAATCGACCGATTTGAAGGGGGTTTCACTTCACCTTAAGTAACATATTTTCAGTAAAAATAACACCTAAATTATACTATTTGCAGCTTTGTTGAAGTCGGAGCAAAAAGAATGTTAGGGATGTGGAAATGAAGGACGAAGTCAAGTGTAAAATCTTTCAGACAAAATTAACGGGGAAAAGAGATTAAACGTCGGTGAGTGATGCGTGTATTTACAAGGTGCAACTCCTCGGTGCGTAAGAATGTAAAATCAATAAAGATTCATGTGAACGGGTTCGTGTGTAATACGCCATGAACTTTGTTAATGAAAGGTGACCCTCAAGGGTACGCTGCAGATGTCAGTGTCACTCCTGAAATAATCCTAATGATCCTTTTGATGAAAAGCCGATGTTCTCCCATAACGTATCCTTTTTTAAAATATATTCTCAAATATTGATATTGCCTGAGTTACTTGTTAATGAAGAAATAATACTAACAAGGAAGATACCTGAGGTGCCCCCCTCCGATTTTGTTCATTTTTAAATATGTTACAGAGGACTAAAATCTAAGGGACCCGTGTTTTTTTTTTATCGGCGGATAAACACTTTTAGGGGGTGAAATCAGGCTTCAAAGTTGGCCGTGCAAGGGGGTGAGTTGGCTGTTTCATATAGAAGCACTCGACCGATTTTCATGAAACAATCGTCAAAATGTAGGGAAAGAAGAATTATGAAACATGCATTTGGAATTTTTCGAAAAAATTCATTTTTAAGGGGTGAGCCACCCCTTTGAATACTTCTTTTACCCCTTTCACGAGCAGTAATTGCTCTATCCAATTGAAACTTGGTTAATTTATAGACCAGAACAATACAATAAAAACATATTTTGGTTATTTCCGAAAAACGAATTTTAAGGGTTGTAACAACTCTTTAATAAAATGATGTATATAATCTCGTTTTAAAACCAACTTGTGCTTGTTCAGTTCAACACTTCAAATGTTGAATTCTAACGAGTACATGGTTGATTACTTTTAAGTAGTTTCCAATATTTTCCAACTTGCTCCAAAACAATCCATTCATTACAATCTACTCTTTAACGTTTCAAGTCACTCATATTGTTACGAGAAATATTTATTGTACGTTTTAATGAAACAGTTCAGGCAAACACTTCAAATGTTGTATTCCAACGAGTACATATATTTACTATCGGCATCTTTATAATCAAAGTGACTGTTTCACGGAAACTCTTAAATTTTAATCGCAACTGCTATAATTTTCAAATTTTTTTCGCAATAGTTCGCATTTTTCCTACAGGAGTCTGCTGTAACTCTTTCGTCAAGTGTCATCACTTTCTTGAACGTCAATTTTTAGAAGTTTTAAAAAATCCTGAACAGTAAGGTTTAAAATGTACATAAAACAGACAAAATGTTGGTTTCCATTGTCGAAATCGGTTACATACTGTTTTACACGAAAAAAAAAAAAAAGAATCTATTAGACTCACAGAAAAATCATTAAAATATACAGATTTTATCCGTTGAAATAAGGACAGTAGATTATATCTGTTAACGTTACGAAAAATATTTTGTTACTCATTATCACTATAATATTTATATAATATTACCTCCATGTTTTCATAATATTTTTCTACCAGATATACAAAACATTTCGTTTCATTTTAATACAAGTATTTTTTAAATATTATTGGCCAAATACATTATAAGCGTTTTAAAAATATTTAAAATCAAAATCACACGTTTTGCTCCCATCATGAAATAGCGGAACGAAAATATTAGAAAAATCTCTCGTGTTTTTTTGATACCAAACAAAGTGTCCGACAATAGTCGTAAAGTAAAAAATGTATTTTTATTATGTTAATAAGTTAGAAAATATTTCTCTATATATTTATGAATTATTGAAACTAAATATGTCATTGAGATTTTCAAGAAATATTTCAAATGCTTCGAATGAAATCTACAAGAAATCTTAAAAAATCTGTCGCTTGAGATATTTAGCAAAGATTAAAAAGTAATATTTATAAATTCTTTGTGCTACTGGGGATGTGTTTAAATAAAATTAATCTTTAATACCCACTGCTTAACATACCTTCTGGTTAGTTTGAATCCAGTGCATAACACTGGATTGCTTCTGGCTCAAACCCTAGCCTTCAGACCGGAAGTGTGTTTCCCCTTGTTCGTTTTTAAATGCCTTTTTTCTAATTTCATTAACGCATTCTTTGTCTTACAATTCATTATATTTGTGTTGTAAATGTGGCTTCGACGCGGTGGTGCAGCTATTTTTCATTTTAATTACGGTGTCTGGGTCGATGTTTTCCTTGCATATTTTGCATTCCGCAGATTTATTGTACTTATTAGACCCTAACCGACTTATTTTGTAATAATCTGTAAACTGTATTCGCTTCTTACGCCCATACTCTTTACTTTTGGAAGTCAGACTTTGTACGTTGTATTTTGTCGATTAATAATTTTTTTTTAATAAACTGTCGGCCTCTAACTTGGATACAGATACCGCCCTAGTAGCACAAAATATTTGTGCAATATTTTCTATATATTTAACGAATATCGTACATTTTGTAAATATTTACCAGACATTTGAAATATTTGCAAAACGTTTACTTTAGAATATTATCTCTANATTTTCATTATGCTAATAAGTTAAAAAATATTCTCTCTATATGTTTATGAATTATTGAAACAAAATATGTCATTGAGACTTTCAAGAAATATTTCAAATGTCTTCGAATGAAATCTACAAGAAATCTTAAAAAGTCTGTCGCTTGAGATATTTAGCAAAGATTAAAAAGTAATATTTAGAAATTAATTTATGCTACTAGGGTGATGATACATACTCTGCATTACTTGGTTCATAAGCTTCGTTTTAATTTTCCATTTCGAGTTTAGTAGAACTTACTGAACTTACCAAAAATCCACTCATGCGTATGCATAACCAAAGATAATTACGCATTATGCGAGAACTAGATAGGAGATGTAGTTACGAGTTTGCTTTCACTCGCCTGTATTCAAGAAATTCAAGAAATTTCAAGACATCACGTATTCATGTCAAGACTCTCTTTCAAGGAATTCCGAATTCTAGTCAAGACTCTTTGTTTCTAGAAATCATCAACTCAAGACAAGAAATCGCTTTCAGGACGAGATTTCTTGTCTCGTTGAAACCCTAGATTCGATACTCATTTCTTAAACATTTAAATTAATTCTTTAGCCTTACATACTTTACGTTAAATTGTCATGATATGTTAAGATGTATAACGATAATATTACAAGGATTTACCAATTCAAATTTAATTGAAAGTAGCATTATTTAATTATGTATACTTGACCACGTGTTACGCGAGATCTACCGATTAATGGAAATTAATTCGGCAGATCTCTAACAAACTTAATAACATATGGCAATTTAACACGTCTCTAAATCGTCTTATTTTATTTTATTTTTTTTTAAGTCGTTGACAACAATCTTCGTACACAAGTTGTTAAGATATCCTGTCAATAGTTGCATTTGCCTGTATGAATGATAAATGATGAAATGAGCCGTTTATTATATTTTGAAAGTGGCCTAATTCCAATCTATATGTACGTTATAAATTTGGGTATTCACAATTTTCATAACGATAATGTTCATGTGTACGTTTGGGATGAAACTATTGCATCAAGAGGTGCTCAAGAAATAGTTTCATGCATCCTAAAACATGTTAAAAATTTAAGAAGTGAAAGACACATTATAGCTTACAGTGACACGTGTGCAGGACAAAATAGAAACATTAAAGTAGCTTTAACGTGGCTAAAAATTGTCCAAACTGTTGAACATAATGTGGAAATCATAGATCATAAATTTTTAATATCAGGACATTCGTTTTTACCAAATGATAGAGATTTTGGCGTAGGAGAAATGTCATTAAAAGAAATAATTTACCGTTTGTCCCCCGAGATTATTATAATATTATCAAAAATTGCCGGAGAGGCAATAACTTTATTCTAAATGAAATCAAACAAGAGGATTTTGTATCAACAAAAT